TGTGGAATTTTCTCCAGCTCTCTTAACGAGCTCTGCAAAGCTCCTCTGTCAAGAAGAGTGGGGAATGTGTAATTTCAAACACATTTTTAATAGTTTCTCTTGGCTCCCTCCGAAGAAGAGGGAGGCATGCTGACGCGGCTCTAGGAGAGGCAGCAACTTTACAAGAGTAATGTGAAACAAATCACCCAGGTGCTAGTAGCACTTGGAAAGCATGGGGAGCTGCCTGGGGAGCGGGGGCTCATCAGGCAAAGAGCGATGCTGGAGTCGAATGTGTGGCTCTGGAAGTCAAACCAGTGTGGCATATGGTGAGTGCAGAGGAAGCAAGGCACCCTCAAAGCTCTGACCAAATCAAGACCCTTTCCCTTTTAACCAAGCAGGATTTTGTAAAAACAGAGAAGAGAGGTAACTAGAGTGGAAATGGTAGCAGGTGCCAGACCACCAAGGAGCATCCGTTAGGATGCCCGGAGCTCTTGGCTCTTGGCTGTAGCAACGGATGGACACCTGGTGTAGCTCAGTGTCTTAGACACATTGAAGAGGACTCACAGCCGGAGAACAGGAAGGAGGAGGAGGAGGAGGAGGTGTGCCACTCCTTGGCTTCTCTGGCTCAAGAGTCCAAAAAACAATGTATTGGAAAGGATATGGGGTCTTCCCTGGTGTCTCAGTGGTAAAGAGTCTGCCTGCCAATACAGGAGACCCGGGTTCGACCACTGGTCCTGGAAGATCCCACATGCCACGGAGCAACTGAGCCTGTGTACCACAGCTGTTGAGCCTGTGCTCTAGAGCCCGGGAACCATAACTCCCGAGCCTGTGGCCCCCAACTATTGAAGTCCAGGCATCCTAGAACCTGTGTTCTGAACAGAAGAAGCCACTGCAATGAGAAGGCCACACATGGTAACTAGTTTCACTTGCCAAAACTAGAAAAAAAGGCCTCACAGCAATGAAGACCCAGCATAGTCAAAGATAAATAAATCAGTAGATTATTTAAAACAGTCACATGAAACATGAACTCTAGGCTCTTCTGTCTTTCTCCATTTTCCCACCAATATTGTTAAGTACCTGACCATGGTTCCTTAACTGAAAATCAGAACCCATGGTGAGACAGCAGGTCAGAATATTTGAAATCCTGACAATTTTGAAAAACCTATGACTGCGGTTGGTCACCATACTATAGGCTTGATTCATGAATGTACTGAAGTGATTTGCTCTTCAAATTAGGAAACACAGCTTTTGTTGAAATAAAAGCTTTTCTTTTATCTGATAACTGGTCATGGAGAAGTTATTTCCTCATGATCAATTTCAATGTGTCACCTGTTGTGAAGGAAGAGAGGAAATGGACATTTTCTGAATCAAGGGAGCAGAAAGTTATCTGTTCCCAGCCCCTCCTTGTTTCATAGAAAACAAACCTGGGGCTCCAGGGAACAACCAAAACAGTGGCTGACTACCCAGAGCCCCTGCTTTGAAGCTCAGCGTTATTTCTCTGCATTCTGCAGCCCACTGTGTATCTGACTCATGTGGGCTGATTCTGCCTTGAGAGGTCTGCTCCCAGCCACCTCCCCGCCCACTCTCCATGTCTGCATGGAAGATGGTGGGCTGAGTCTGCAGCTCCTAACCTCGCGCTGGGCAGCTCTGCAGCCCCGGTGGGAAGGGAAATGCTGAGTGGGGTCTGGCTTTGGTACAAGTAGGCTAATCATGGTGAGTGGCTGGTAGGAGCTGTGAGAAAGACATGAGCTCCCTGCGGTCCCATTTTCTTCCCCGAGCCCCGAGTTTATCCTCCTGGCCTCCTTTAGGTCATCTATTTCTTTCCTGACAAAAACATCTGGTTGTTTCAAAACTGAAATTTTCATGCATCTCAGCTCATGTAGGAATGTCGAAAAGCTGTTCTGAAAAACATAGCTCCTCCGGGTGCCAAACCAGTTGGGCTGGATTGAACAACTGTTGTGATAAATCTCCGCTCTGCCGCTTCAACAGCCCCAGAAGGTTAAAACAGAATGTTTCATGAGACCAGCCAGTCGAATTGAATAAGACCTGCCTGCAGGAGCCCTGTGCCTTAAGAGTGTGGAGTCACCCCTTTCTCTCCTCCCTCCTCAGGCTCTCTTCTTTCAGACAATTTCTGGGACTGCTGGAAAGAGGACAGCGTGTCAGGATTCTGTGTTCACAACAAATTCTTTTGTGTCCTTAAGTGGAAAAATATTTTACGACATGGCAGAGTGACTGCTTGTTCTATGAGTGATTCACAAGGAAAACTCAGCGACCTAATGATGTGTGTCCTTGCCAAGACCAAGGCAAGGAAAAGGATTAAAAAAAAAAAGTGACCCAGAATCAAAAGTCTGAGAGGAACTTCTAGGATGCTAGACCACCTTTCCACTAAGCGGTTGCCACCGTGGGCTATGGAACTTCCACTTTTGCTGCCCTTTATTTCAAACGCACCCTTGTCCACAAGGTGAAACATCCACCCCGACAAAAGTCCATGCCACTGACCACTCGGTCTTTGCTTTAGTGCTTTGTTCTCTGTTCCCTATTTCCGAGGATGTGCATGCTTATCAAGATGGTCTGTTGTAATGCTTGGAGCGTGCATGCATGCTAAATCTCTTCAGTCATGTCTGACTCTGTGTGACCCCATGGACTGTAGCCCACCAGGCTCCTCTGTCCATGGGATTCTCCAGGCAAGAATACTGGAGTGGGTTGCCATTTCTTACTGCAGAGGCTCTTCCCAACCCAGGGATAGAACCTGTGTCTCCTGTGTCTCCTGCATTGGCAGGTGGGCTCTTTACCACTAGCACCACCTAGGAAGCCCATACTTCTGTATAATTCAGTACTATAAATAAAAGCTTCCTTGGTGCTCCTGGAATCAGAAGACATACAGCTCGTATTTCACCACATTTTCTATAAAAATATTGTTGGATGTTTTGTCACATATTTTGCTAAAATCATTGCACAGTGTGTCGACTCAGTTTCCTCATCTATCAACCTGGAGATGCTATAAAACTGGAACTAAATATAGAATAGAAACCTCTGTTGGTGTCATGTGGGCAGAAAATTTCTCTTCTAAGTAACCTCATGAACTTATCTGCTTCACTGCCTTTGCTGCTGGCATCATTCTTGGTTTCCCTTTTGGATTCCCTTGCTTCCTTGTTCCAAGGACCAAGATACCTTTCGTGGACCATGAAAGAATTTACCTAATTTGTTCCCTGAGTTCCTGTTAGCTTGTCCTCTGAGATAACACCTGCATTTTAACAGCAACCCTCTGTGCCTCAACCCAAAAGTATGGGGCTGGAGAATTTGTGGAAACACCAGGGACCAGGGTCGTCACATCTCCTGGGAGCTGCCGTTTATTCCATAAAGGTGACCTCTTCTCAATCTGCTTGTCTCTGTGTCTGGCAACTCTTCCGGTGCCATCAACTCCCTAAGCCCACCCCCACCCCCAGCATGGCAGACAGGCACTCTGGTTACACAATGGGACCTCTCCATGGGACCTCAGCCAGGCTTCTTTTAGCCAGTATTGGAAATGGCCTCAAGGGATTTTTCCCTTCAAAGCTCTTGCCTAAACCTTGCTAAATCAAGTTCGACCAGTCAGTGGTGGAAAAACCCCACCTCTTTTTTTTTTTTCTCACCTCCCTTCCCAACATGCTCCTTCATTACCAACAAGCAAGAGGGTTCATTCATTCAGCAAAGAGTTGTTAAGCATATTACTGTGCGCGAGTCTGAGGTGGTACTAGGGATTCAGAGGTGAGCAACACAGCATAGCTCTGCCCTTGAGAAATCACCAGGTCAACTAGGAAGACAGTTTTTAAACATATAAATATGACTGTGTGAGAAGAGGGTTATGAGGAGGACAAGCTCTTACCTTGCTCCAGAGGTTCAGGGCAATGATATGGGAGGTAACATGGACGACAGGAGTGTACCTAAGAGCCTGAGAGAGGCCAGCTGTCCCTGGGGACGGTGCCCAGAGTCCTGTCCACCCACATTCTTCTGAATGCCCCTGTGGTTGAGGGCTCCCTCGTTGTCTTGGAAAGATGATCTAATAAGATCTCATTTCACAGCTCATCTCAATTTAAACTCTGGGCTTGTCCCAGACTTTATGTGCAGAATATTTACCAGCCTGCAGGGTGATTTTTTTTTTTTTTTTTTTTTTGCAGGAGAAATGCCTGCAAGATTTCTAGCTCATTTCTGAAGTGGCCAGCTCCCCCCCTTCCTCTTCGAAACTCCAGCTACACTCACAAGTGCCTCAAAGTAACCAGTTAGAATCAGAATTCTTGACTGTTCTGTCCCAAGTGAAAGTCGCTCAGCTGTAGCCCTGCCAGGTTCCTCTGTCCATGGGATTTCCCAGGCAGGAATACTGGAGTGGTTGCTATTTCCTCCTCCAGGGGATCTTCCCAATCCTGGGATCGAACCCAGGTCTCCTGCATTGCAGGCAGATTCTTCACCATCTGAGCTACCAGGGAGACACTGGATTTCAGAACTAGGGCTGGGACGTGGGTTTCTGACGACTCTAACCATAGCTCCGTGAATGTGGCCTAGTGGGATGCGCGGAGGGCACTGTCAGCTAACATCCTCTTCTGGGGGGCTTCTAGATCTCCTGACACACAGACCCCCTAAGCCTGCAGAGTCTACGCAGCCAGAAGAAAAGCGCAAGTTGATGAGAAGGGTTTGCTCAGCCTTGGCCATCTTGGGAAGGGGCTGCTTCACCCCTGGACCTCCCCCACCCTCCACCCCCGACTCACTTGTCTTGTTCCTACCTCGGTCCCCTCCCCGTAACACCCCACGAGGCTGCGGAGGCCCTCTGTCGCCTTGCTGGGCGACATTCCCTTTCCCGGACCATCCCGGGCTCTTTCGCTGCAGAATCTCCTTTGCACAGAGCCTGGGGGTTGGAGCGCCGCGAAAAGCATCTGCAAACGTGGAAAGTTTCCCTTGTGCGTTCTCCTTAAACATTTGACAAGAATTAAAGTTTCCCCCAGGGGAACCAATTTCACATATTAAAACCAAACTTTTTTCCTTCTTACAGTCTCTCTCCCTCGCCCAGTCTCAGACCCGGGAGGAATGATTTCCTGTGAAGTCCGGGCGCTCGTCGCCCCTGCGCAGCGGTGAGCGCGCCGCCGGCGGTCGGACCCAGGGCTGCGCGCGGCGCGACCCGCGTCTTCCATACCCACGCCGGGCCGGGGCGGGCCCCGCTTTCGCTGGAAAAATAATAAAATGTGGGGTCGGTTTCTTTTAAGCTGGCTTTCTGTTTCACAATTCGAGTTTTCTGTCAGGAAATGAGTACCGGCTAGCTCTTTAGGGTGGGGGAAGGCGGAGGGGACGGGGCGGGGTGGAGAAGAGGTGGGGGCTGCGCCCTCTGTCCGGAGCGAGGCCGCCCCCGGCTGCAATGGGGGCGTCAGGCCCTCCGTTTGTCCCTCAAAGCCCGCCGCGTGGACCCTTCCATCTGCGCAGGGGTCTTTTGTGCGGCTTCAGGAGGGGCCCCTTTTAGAAGGGACAGAGTCCACCATAACCAGACAGAATATACATCCGTAATGAAGCCGGGCGGCCACTGGATGTCTGCAGCCAGGGTCATTTTAGGACCATGGGGACGCGCCAGTGAAAAAATCCCAGGCGTCCCTGGAGAAGTCTTCTTCCAAGAAAGCAAAAATGGGATTGGGGGCACGGGGCTGGGAGAAGCTGGTGGGGGCGTGGGGGTGAGGAGACGCGAGGAGACTGAAGACAGAGTTCCAGCCATAAATATGCATGTCTGGGCAGCGTGTGTTTCAAATGGAATGTTAACGCGCACATGCAGGGTATCCCGGAGGGTGTTTGTGAACATCCCCCAAAAGGGTGGAGGGGCTCGAACGCACATTTGGAATTTTCATTAGAAACACATGCACAATTAACAAAAATGAAAGCATATCTTAGAAACATTGAACTTGTACCCAAGCAATTAGCAAGCTGGTTCATTTTGATTTGCTGGGTTGTGGGGCTTGGATAGCCAAACCTTTATGCTGTGGTGGTGGCCGCGGTGGTGGGAGTCAGATACCTTTTAAGTCCAGGGAAGATTTTCCAGAGCCTTGCTATGGCTAAAGGGGCAGGACGGAGGCAGGGTTTGTTACAGTTAACGTCCTATGATTCCCAAGAGATTCAGTTTGGAAACAGGATTTAGAGAGAAACTATTCATCCTGCTTTAAAACTTCTTATAACATGCGTGCAGAGAAGTGTGTCTCAGGTCAAAGCACCTTCTCATGCTGAACACGTCTGTATGATCAGCACCCAGAAGCCTCACTCAGCTCACTGCCAGGCACTGCTCTCTTCTTCTCATCATTATATTTTAAATTACAATTTTCTTTTCAGTCACTAAAGATGATAATGGTTTATTTTGTGCCAGAACTTCAGGGCAAAGTGAGTCCAGGCCAGCGGTGTGCTCTGCACACACCCAGAGCCTCCTCAGGTTCCGCTGGCTGTCTGCGTCTTCCTCAGCCTTCCAGCACCACCCAGAGCGCAGCGTGAATACTGTGGCCCCGAAATCTCTCCAGATCACTGGCTCCTCCATTCCAGAGGCCCTTGGAGTTTATAAAGTTATTCATTTCATATGTTGCCTTAATCCGTTCAGGATGCTGTAACAGAATGTCACAGATTAGGTGGCAGTTCTCAAGTTTTGGAGGCTGGAAGTCCAAAATCAAGGTGCCAGTAGATTTGGTGTCTGGTGAGGACCTTGATTCTTGGTCTTCTCCCTGTTGCCTCACATGATGGAAGGACTGAGTGTGTTAGTGTTAGTGGCTCAGTCATGTTCGACTCTTTGCCACCCCAAGGACTGCAGCATGCCAAGCTGCTCTACCCATAGAATTCTCCAGGCAAGAATACTGGAGTGGGGGCCATGCCCTTCTCCAGGGGATCTTCCTGACCCAGGGATCAAACCCAGGTCTCCTGAATTGCAGGCAGATTCTTTATCTTCTGAGTCACTGAAAGAAGATCCTATTCTACCGGCATTCCTGAGGGATCCATTCTTATGGCCTAATCACTTCCCAAAGTCCCTACCTCCTAATATCGTCTACTTCAGAATTAGGATTTCAACATAGAAATTTGGGGAGGACATAAACATTCAGTCCAAAAAAAAAAAAAAAATTCAGTCTACGCCATACATACTGACAGCCAACCAATATCAGGATCTCTACTCCTAAGGAGCTGAACAATCTATAAGAGAGAAAAACAAGGAAACCATAGGGTGTGATCTCTGCTAGGGCTGGAATTAGCACAGGGGAAGGGAAGGATCCGAAAGGGAGCGTTGGTCTTCAAAGGTGGAGGAAGATTTCCTAGAAGAAGAGCCTCAGCAGAGTCCTGAAGGAACACCAGGTGAAGGCAAGGGTGGTAAGGAGAACAGAATTCCAGGCAGTGAGAATAGCATGTGTGAAAATGGGAAATGAGTGGAGTGAGGGAGGGGAGATTAGCTTGGACCAGCTCAGGAAGACCCCTTGTGCTCTGGCTGACCAGATAGCCCCACTTGCCCTGGGGTGGTATCTACCTACACTTGCTACTCTATATCACAGCCACCTTACCCCCTCCTTCATTCTCAGTAGTAACTGATTTGGACCCTAAAATGATGTAGTCACCTCATCCAAGCCATACCAAAGAATTTGAATTCAATCCTGAAGGTCCAAGGTGCTGGTGAAGGCCTTTGAGGAGGGAAGAAACCACAATCCCATTTGCATTGTAGAAACATTACTTTGGCTGCAATGGAAGAATGTTTTGGAGAAAACAATGATATTTTAGGAGATTATTGCCTTCATCCAAGGTGGAGGTGATGGTGGCCAGGATTAAGAGCTCAATCATGATGATGGATGAATTCAGAATGAATGAGAAATATTGCGTAAGAGGACTTCCAAGAACTTGGTGATTGTATTTACTCTGTGTTCATTGAAAGTGAAAGTGTTAGTCGCTCAGTCCAGTCCAACTCTTTGTGACCCCATGGACTGTAGCTCACCAGGCTCCTCTGTCCATGGGATTTTCCAGGCAAGAATACTATGTTCATTGGTCATTTATATATTGCAAGAATACTATGTTCATTGGTCAATTCAAGGAAATGGCAACCCACTCCAGTACTGGAGAATTCCATGGACAAAGGAGTCTGGCCAGTTACAGTCTATGAAGTCGTAAAGAGTCAGACATGACTGAGCAACTAACACTTCAAGATTTTAAACTGGACTTTGCTGGCAGCCTGGTGCTCGGGTTCTAGGAGCACAGAAGCCTTGGAGGAGCTGGAAGGGATGACAAGGGTGAGCACAGGCCTGGCTTGGGGTTTTCCATCTCTGGAAGGCAGAGCTAACCTGTGCTGGGCCAGGTCCCAGCAGTGGCCTGGGTTGAGGCCAAGGTCAGGGCCAGGGCAGGGTGGCACTACCTTGGGGTGGTACAGACAGCATGGTGGCACAACTGATAGGCAGGTTCACATGCTGTAAGTTTGAGGAGTGTTACAGGCTTGTGAATTACATTTAGAAAAAAAATGTATCAATAACTCGAAAGTAGTAGGAACTCCAGTCCCCACCACATATGTTTTCCATGTGTGTTGCGACTGTAGAAAGTAACCAAACAACTCTGTATTGAACTTGTCAGAATATAATCAAAAATTCCGCTAATTACTTCAGCATGAAGCCCACTGAGCTCTCTCCCTTAATCATCAGAAGTTAGTGAGCAGCAGCACTCGGGAACAGCACTTGACTGTGTTTCTTGGACAACTGCAAAAGCTTATCTTTCACTGCAAGGTTTTCTCATTTTTGGAAACTCTGTCCCCATTACAGTCATCATTACTAACTACATCAAGAGTGTACGGCTGAGAAAGGTATATGCAAAGAAATTCTTGAAATGGGAACAGACATTCACGTGGGAGTGGTAGTTTTTGCCAAAAAAAAGTTAAACTCGAGCAAATGAATTGATTATCCTAGGCTGCTGGCCTCACTGCTCAAGAAAGAAGCAAATGCAAAATTCTGCCAGTGAGTCCACGCTGTTTAGCACATTTGTTTTACCTCTCAAAGCCGGTAATAATGACAGAAGAAAACTGACGGAGTTTTGAGCCCAGGAAGAAAAATTAAGAGGCTTTTAATATTTACAAAGAAAAACATTATTTCCCTTTAATCTTTCTTGTCTCTCATTTCAGTTCCCATTAAGCATCTGCACCATGGGGGTGGACAGGGGGGAACTGTGGAGAGAAGAAAAAAGAGAAAGTGAAAGCAGTGAAAAGAAATAGTAACTTCTCAAACAGAGAGAACGTATAATAATTTATACGGATATGAGAGAGCCTTAGTGTAGAGTCTGTAAATGTTTATATTTGGTTTCTAAATGAAATATGGTAAGCCCTATTTACTATTCAGAACTTCAAATTTATAAAACAGATTTTTTGTTATTGTTGTTAGTGGGAAGAGAAGTGGAAATGAGTTGGAATGGGAGTTTATTCACATTGCATAAAAATTCTTTACTTTGCAAAATGATTCACTGAAAGCTTCCTTTAAATAACAGCTCTGCTGGTGCATTTAATTTACCAAAAAAATCAATTTTAAACAGAATTTTAGGAACAACGTCTGTGTTATGCAGTGAAAATGCAGTAGGCATTTTAAAATAAAAACAGATTGGGGTGAATATGAAAATAAATTTGTATTCTTTGAATAAATTCTTACTAGGCAAGTATCATGATGGTGGCCTAGAAGTGTGATGGGAGGGTCATTGTGTAGGAGAAAGTTGAAGGATTAGGTAGGATTAGGGAAGGGAGTATGGATTTAACTTTAAAAACTGGACATGATATCATCTAAGGAATGAGTTTTAATAGGAGACCTTGCATCAGTAAAAATAAACAAAGGGATTTCTAATTCAAGTTGCAGATAACCTCCCCTGCATTTAAGCAGGCAGATAATTTTGCTTAGATTCCAAATTCCCATTGAAATAACCAAATACGTAACAGAAAACTCTGCATTAGTGTTTAAGTTGTTTTTGCAAAAGCAAATATGACAGAAAAGAGCAGTAAAGGGAAGGAAAACTGATCGTAATATTTTTAGATGCAGCTCCTGGGCAGATTGATAAAAGTTACTGGGAAGGTAATAAGCATAATGTAAAAAATTAATATTATTAGTAATCTGGATCCAAAAGCTTCGATTATTTAAACAGCAATTTAGATCCAGGGGATATGAAATAAAAG